ACTGGACTTGAGGGGTAAGCAAACCCTAAAAAAGGAAACCTTGGAGGCCAAGGTTTCCTCATCTATAAATAGAAGGACCATTAAACACACACACACACACGAAAAGACATTATCTATTACCACATCACACATATACCTGTCTCTTTCGATCACTGACTTGATCGTCGGAGCTTTCCCGTCGGGAATTCCTCCCGGCGTTGCAGGTACCATCACCGGAGTACGGATCAAGGTGAGTTGAAGAAAACGGAAGCCCCACGGACGAAATCAAGTGGCGCCGTCTGTGGGAAAGATCTAGAATTTTGGAAACACAACTTTCAGGAAAATATCAGATATGCCCCTGGAAGTCCGGATCTGAGCTATAAACGTAGAGAACAATGGAATGAGAAGACACCACTGCCCGAAATTTACAGAAGGAATTGGATGCAGCAGCTCATGATACGCCCACTGTCGATCCATCGTCTGTCTTGAAGGACAAGTCACGATGCAGCCTAGTTACGCCCGAAAAGGAAGGTCGGATTCCCCTCTTCTCGGGTAGCCCCTCTTTCGAGTTCCAGAGTGGCGAAGCCGCTTCGAGAAAACCGGTCACGGCCCCGGCTCAAACCTCCAATGAGCGTACATACACCAGAGACGAGGTGGAGACCATGATCACCGCGGCCATTCGGAACTATACTCAATCCTTACCCCAGGACAACCGGCCTAGGAGAGACCTTAGGCGCTCCCCGAATGAAGGGCGAGCTGAGGATGAGTGCGACAGTTCTTCGGAGAATCGAGAAGGCAACAATCATGGCGTCAGGACTGAGGTTGATAGTCTGAGGCGCGATATGGATGAGTTAAAAGCCTTGCAGAATGGTCCAACGCGAGCTCTCGAGGGATCTAGCCCCTTCGCCAGGCATCTCGATAACGACCCCATACCAGCTAATTACCGACCAATTCTGTTCGAGTATAACGGCACATCAGATCCAACAGAGCACCTAAGTCGGTTCAACAACACAGCATCACTCCACCAGCTCACGGAAGGAGTGAAATGCCACGCCTTCGTCACCACTTTAGCTGGACCGGCTCAAGCCTGGTTCGGTTTGTTGCCGTCTGGAAGCGTACACTTCTTTGGACAGTTTGCCAAGGCCTTCATGAATCAATTCGCTAGCTCGAAGAAATGCAAAAAGACCTCGCTGTCACTGTTCAGCATCCGCCAGAAAGAGAAAGAAAGTCTTCGGAACTACATCAAACGGTTCACTTCGGCCACGTTGGAAGTGCCGCTTATGGCGGCTCTTTCACAAGGACTAAGGGATGATGAGTTCTTTCGAGCCCTAGCGCTAGAACCCTCACCTGATTTCGATAATCTGCTGGAGAGAGCATTTAGGTTCATTAACTTAGAAGAAGTCCGACAACAAAAAATAGAAGAATCTCACCAGGCACTGAACGTACGAGCCAACGAAGTAAAGAAGAGTAAGGAGCCTATGTTACCCCGAAGAGATACAACGCCCGGTCGAAACACCGTCTCGGATGTCAAGGGATCCCGATATCAATCATATCAGCCTCTCACAGCACCCTTGTCCCATGTGTTATGCGCAATCGAGAAGAGAGCTGATTTGCGTTGGCCACGGTCTGCTCGAGAAGAGCCCCGCCGAAATCCCGCACTAGGCACCTTTTGTCGTTTTCATAACGAATACGGACATGTGACGGATGATTGTTCGCATTTGAAAGATGAGGTGGAGCGTCTTATCAGAGATAATAAAATCGGGGACTTTGTGAAGATAGACCCCCCCCCCCCCCCCCCCCCAGGGGAAAAGCGCGAAGCTCAATTCGGAAAATCTGGCCGAATCCCGCCCCCCCCCCCGATACCCCAACGAGGATACCTCCC